GTGGTAGGCGAGATGGACAACTAATAAAAACTGAGCAGTAATATTATTGACCGCAAAATCCGGACACATGCTGTCCCCCCATTGCATACGTAGTCGACAGTCGCTACTGCAGTATCACTTACATTCTTAGGGTCTAAGAGAAGTAATGCAGAGAGTGCCTAATTTGCAATTGGTTCATTGTGTGGGTAAAAGTGCAAGAAAATACACAGAGACTTACATATTTTCAAAATGGTAGAACACGTTTGCAGTAAAGGGAGATTTCGAAAACAGTACAATCTCCGAACATACGGTCATCTCGGAAGAAACATCAAAAATAAGACACCACGTGCGTGCGTAGTTCAGCCAATCCAAGTGTCCTTGATTTAACTGATAATTACAATTTGGGAACTAACGCGAACATAGCTGTGTCTAGGGCACGCCATTTTAGACCAGTCCCCCAAAGATCGTTTAAATTATCAGGTTAGTAATTTATGTATTGAAAATTACATAGAGCACGCTAGAGAACCCACTGAAGAGCCAAAACCATATATGAATAGAAAAAAAGTGGCGAGACAGACGTCAGTAAATTTATCGGCGACCGGAACCACTGTCATATGAAATTCGATTTATGTTCGTCGGACGGCCAGAAACTCTTTATTTACTGTTTATTGGGCGACTGCAACATAACTTTTAGGGCATCAATATAATAAGAAAAAAGAAAACATTACTTAGCATAGTTGGGTTTTGGTAGTAAGCGTACCTTGTCCCTCTTAACTACTGAAGCCATCGTAACGACAGTACCAAGATCGAGTTCTGTTAGATTCTCCGCTGCAAGCACCTCTGGGAACTATGAGATTTTCCATCAGTAGCGTAGGACGCATGTCAATGTTCAGTAGTAGACAGTTCCTGTGAATTTTGTGCTTTGTTAACCAGAAACCACGTAACCCTTCAATTAGTCAAAATGCGACGTCATGCGGTCTGGGTAAAAGGGCAGTAGCAATCTAAGTGAAACTCCCGTTGGTTTTGCCCAGTACGGAGCCACTATCACCGCCCCATCAAAGTGGGCACGTCCTGAGAATTATCGTTATGCCCCGCCACTCTTCACGTGCAAGATGACCCGGCCTTTTCCGAAGCTACACGTATTTGGGCGCATAACCTTAAAAAGACGCCAGAATGTGCCCTGGAGGGTTCACGCTTGCTGCACCCTGGTGCATCGTCACATGGGTGCAGGGGAGGGGGCATTCAAGCTAGTTTTTTTACGTCCTGTTGACAGGTCAACTGTGCACTCAGTCATCATGATGACTGTACCCATTTAGTTAGCAGACGGCTACTTCAGTTGCCGCAGCTTATTTGGATGTTAAAACGGGCGTTTCTAGTGGATGAAGCTCTAAGGCCGCATACTGACTGTATGAAGGAGTATGAAGGAGTTTAGTCAAAAAAGGATTGACTCAGGCTTCTCCGGAAGTCCGTCAGTTCTAAGTTCTTAGGTCAGCTGACGAATCTAATAATCCACATGAAGACATAATATGCACTGCAATGAAATAAACTTTTTTTTTCGAATTTTTTCGACACGGTTGCAAGCGATTAGTATTGCTTAGGTGAGGCCACAGGTTTTTTTTAGCAGGAGCAAAAATCAAAATCGGGTACTACACGGTGACCTACGTGGCTTTAGACTGAGCTCCTTTTTAGCCACGGGTCTATCTTGCACTTGGAAAAATCGCAACTTTCTCAGTATGAATGACCGGCTGTCCATCAAAGTCTGCACAAAGTTGAGTAAGTTGAGATTAATGGGCCTGCAAATCACCCCTCACTAACCGTACAGCGAACTGCCTCTTGCTAGACTTCTATTTGGAAGAAGGTAATATTATAAGTTTTAAAAATAGATCTCGTTATTTCTCAGGGTTGCAAATTACATGCTGCGTATTTGCTCCACAGTTAATTCCCACACCTCTACGCTTTTCTGTCAAAAAGCTTCTTGGAGTCTGCAAATATTACAATAAAAAGGGATCATATTTGACAGGTTTCTATTTCTTTTCTCACACACGATGAGCGCAGGCTGCATGAATAAGCGTGTTAACCTTTGAAAAGTGCAGAAATGAAAATTATTTTAAATATCGAATAATATTTGCTTCGAAGTAAACGTTGAAAGTTAGCACACTTTTATAAGACAAAAGTGTACAAGGGAATTATTCTGTTGACTTTTCTATTGAGTACGATAACATTTATATAAGCGTCAAAGGGCATATTTGGAACAAGTAGTGTTTCCTTTCAAACATAAATCATGCAAGGTGGTTGGAAAGAAGATTGTTCAAAAGTCAGCTTTTTGTCATGTATGAACGCAGGAGGCACAATTATACCTTTTTTCGATTTGCCAACTTCACATGAATAATCTCTTCCATTTAAAAATAGGTTGAAATACTTTGGTCAAGGTTTTATGACATCTGGTCCTTCTTGTCACCAGCTTGAAGGCAAGTGCTTCATGATATAAGTCAGTTTTGGTTAGCGGTAATGCCAATTAAATCGTCTCTTCTTGTCATCGCCCCTTCAGGAAGCATTATTTCTGATGAAGAAACGGTTATTAATCACGCATAATTAAAAGGCTTAAGCATAGTCTGATATAAGCACCGGTCGAAGAAATTACGTCTGAGGTAACACTTAAATAGAAACCGGACTTCTCGGCAGAGGAGAATATTTTCCGGCCTCCTCACAAGCTTGGAAATTTAAATTTACGTGATTGCCAATGTTTGCAGAAAAGTGCGAGAGTTCAGGGCTAACGCAATGTGATTCCTAACCAACTAACGGCGGGACTGACTGACCATCTGTGAAAACGCTCCTAAATTGTCAAAGTCGAGAGTTCCGAAAAGATGAG